ATTTAAATTCTAAAAATACAATATGACGCCTTAGCCTCGCCGACTAGAGTCCGAATACAGGTTCATTCTAGTTCTACTTTTTTTTTTTTTTTTGATTGGTCTGAGAATAAACAAACATAGAAAAGTGGTTCGGGATTTTGATCGGGTGAAATTAAAATTCTCCGATTTTCCAATCAGAGTTCTCTATGACCCGAGTAACGTATCACCACTTTACCTTATTCAGTATACCTCTCCTTATTTGATAGTCTTGATTACGTTATAATATACAAGAATGTCCTTATTTTGGTTAACGCATTTAATCACTAAAATACTTTATATTACTACAGTTTTACTACGGTTATACTTATCAGCTATTATTAAAATAATAATAAAATTGTATAAAAAAATTTTTTTAAAAAAGCTTATTTAAAATTTATTAATTTTTCAAAAATTTACACGAAAATTTACAAGAAAAATCTAAAAAATTTGTTTAATGCTATATATATGAAATTAAGTATAAAGTGTAAACGAAAATAGATATATATATATTTATAAATTTCTAATTTAACAAACTGCGTATTAATAAAAAAAATGTTTGCGTAATTTAATAATAGTACATGGATGATACAACACATCAGAGTAATCAGACGATCTACTAAATAACGATAACTACTAGAACTGTACTAGACAGTACTTAGATGCCTTATCTTTTTATATGTTAGTGATTCGCAGTTTTATTTATTACCATTATGGAATATACTATATGTACACGTCTAGTCAATCTTAAATGCAATTAACAGAGAAGGATATAATTAACGGAGAAGGAAACTAACTGAAGTAAAGTGGGGTTTATAATGCGTCGGAATAATTGAATGACTCCACAGAGTTTGTTTTTTTTTTTTGAGTGATAAATATCGACTGCGTGATAAAAAAAAATCAATTGACATTAAAGTAACACTTGGTACTGTATTTGTTCAGATAAGAAAAAACCTCTTTAAATTTTATGACAAATGATAACAACATCTGACTCATAAGATTTGCAACATACAGTTTTAACCTTTTTAATTATTTTTGTTGATTATTTTCTGTTGATTATTTCTGTCTTTTTTTTTTTTATATACGTATATACGTATATAAACAACAACAACAACAATAAATATTTTATATATACGTATAATTTTATATTATTTTTTATAATATATACTATACTGTATACTGTATCTAGTATATACTGCATCTAGTATGTACTGTATCTAGTATATACTGTAACTAGTATATACTGTATCCGGTATGTATGTAGTATATATGTATATATGTATTTATCGCTTTTTCGTTATATGTATTTTTTATATGTATTTTTTATACGTATTTTTATATGTATTAAGTGTGTACGTATTCATCTATATATACTACATATAAATACATAAATACATAAATACACATAAAATATATTTATTTTTCCAAAACGATCCTTTTCTTTTTTGTTTTAAATCATAAATATTCATCATTGGCTGTGTATCGTTTGAAACTTGATATTCAACATAATATCACAAATCCAAACATACAAAAAATATAAAAACCTCCTGCTCTCTCTTTTTATCTTGTACATTTCTTTTTTTTTAATAACGAAAATAATTAATATATTATATATTTTTTTTTTTTGTGGATTTGGATTTTAATTGTTTTTTTTTCCTTTTCGACCTAATGTCTTACTAAAATATCATTAAGAGATTATTAGACTCTTTCTTATATCAATCTTCTCTGTAATCATGAAGCGTCGAAAATGATACAGCTTAATTGTCTTCTAGAAGGCAACGATTCTTGATAAAAAAAATATATATACATATAATACTTAAAATATTCTGTTAATTTTTTATTATTATTTTTTCTTAATATCTACGGACAATTATTTCCTTAAAGATCACACAAAAATTTTTCTTTTAATACTAAAAAAGAGACAAAAAATTTTCCTTTATTCGTTTCTCTCACAAATAAAAATTCCTTGTATCACCCGATCACCGCAGTTTTAATCCCGATACCGCAGAAAGAAATCTATATATATTAAATAATTCTTAAGAAAAAACAAACACAGCGGATTTTTTACAAATTAGGTTTTTACACGAACACTTGGCTGCTGTGCCAAAAATATATTTTTTTTCATTTTTCTTTATTTTTTTTTTTTTTTATATAAATAGGTTACTCGCTCTTTGAATATTTTTTCGAAAAAAAAAAAATCAATCAATTCATATAATCATATTCAAAATATATATATTATTCAGAAATGACTCCAATGATGATAAATGTTGAACACGTTTGCACTGTTGCCGTTAATAAACTTAACAACTCTTCTTATACAGCCCGTGAAGGTGGGCTAAGAAGATTTGTGTTGTTACATAACTTTCTTCGTAAATTTGAGTGGCAAGATGATGATATAAAAAAGGATGAAGAGTATTGGCTTGAATCTACCTTGGGTGACCTTGTTCAAGAAGAAGATGAAGAAGAAGGCTATGTATTTATTAAAACAAAATCTAACGAAGTACTCCTCAAACCATACGATGAATACAACGAATATAACGAATATAATGATGAATACAATTACATGGAATTGTTACAAAATGGAATGGACATTGTCACCGAAGATATCATGATGCCACAAGATATTGACTCTCATGAACTTATTACCCATTTTGATCCTGGTGGTGCTCAACGAATGGAGATTGACGACGAAGATGATGATGATTATGATGATGACGAAGATGTTGATACACCATCCAATTCTTTAATTGATTCGTATGGGTCGCATTTTGAGAAAACACAAATGCTGACAGCTGATAGCGATATAAATATGTTAGAGAATGATTATGGAACTTTGCACCATGAAAATTTTCATCCATATTGGAAAGATAATAGTATAATAGATTCATTCCTCGATCAAAGTATGCAATCTATCAGCATTCCACGAATATTTCAACGTTATCGTTATCGTTGGTCTGATGTTCCTTCTCACATTAACGCTAGTGCTTTGTTTGACCTTCTGAGTAAAGATCCTCCTCAACCTTTATATAAACGATCAAAAGATGATCTTGACATTGGTTCTTTGAATTACAAAGATTTAGACCAAGGAGTTCTAATGGATATAATCAGCATGTTAGAATATCCATTTAAAAATAATTTACCTTCTGTTAAATCAAACAATAATGTAACTTCAAATGCAAACATGTGGTTCGTGGAAAATGGAAAATGATTGATAAAAAAAAAAAAAAACATTTTTTTTCTATTCTGTAATTAATTTTTATAAATAACCCCTCCCTACTTCCCCTTTTCTTTTATTGTAACTTTTGCTTTTTTCTCTTTTATTTGTTATATATTATTTCCCCTTTTTTTCTAAATCTCAATTCGTTTATCTCATTAATTCAGTAATTTTGTTTAATTTTGTTGGATTGTGTAGATAACTACTTTTTTTAACTACTTTTTTTAACTACTTTTTTTAACTACTTTTTTTAACTACTTTTTTTTTTTTTTTTCTTGGACTTTTTTGGGACATTTACGGTATTAAAAAGAATGAAAAAAAAACTGAAAACAAAAAAAATTTTTTAAAAAAATATGAACTTTATTCAAAAAAAAATAGGCGTTAATTTCATTTTCAAAAAACAATTCATACAATTTTTCATTTCACAAAAAATAACGCTTAATTTTATATACTGCTAGTTTATGATTTTTTTTTTTTTTTTTATCGCCTCATCCTATTCTCAACCTGTAACCATCAAAAATAAGATTTTTTACTACGAAAAAAAAAAATAATAAAATAAATTTGGGAGGTTTTTTTAAAAAATAAATTTCAAAGGTATATACACATAGATTGTTAATTGTACAGTGTTTTTTGTTTATCTTTTCTTTCCGTCAAAAAGTAAGTCATAAAAAATTACTTGGTAATATGAAACGTCAGACACTACTACGTATAATACTATTGTCGTCATTACTTGATTGTAAGTCCAGTTTAAATCATATGATTCGGGGTTTAGAACGTTTTAAAGTACACGCATGCGTGATCAGTTTGCATCGGAAAGAACTTTCCTTTTCTATCACCGCTGTGTATATTCCTAACAGGATAAATTCGGCCCTAATGTTTATTATGTACACAAAAATTTATTATGCGTAACGGAGAGTCAACGGGCATGAATCTCCCATCCATGATACTGTGATAACCATGATAAAAGCTGATCAATACAGTATTAATACGTAGCATGGTATTAGATTGTCTGTCTCACGTAAGTCCTACGTAAGTCCTACGTAAGTCTACATACGTACCTCTTACGTTATTCAATTTTTTCATTGTAATAAAATTTTTGATTTCAAGAAAATCAAAAAAGATCAATGTAAAAAAAAGTACCAATTTTAATGTAAAGATCGATCGATCATTAAAAAATTAGTACTCTTTAATATTCACACAATCATGGGATCAAAAATGATAAAGTCCCATCATCCTAAAATCGTTTGACCATCTTTAACTTTTCGATTTTTCTTTTTAATGTTCTAAATTTATATGAAACGAGGTCTAGCTCCCATGTTTTTTATGATAATTTAAGTGAAAACCAATTAAATTTGTTTATTTAAAAAAATTCCAACTTTGACATCCATATATATCTTTCTTATCGATTTAAAAAGAATTCATGTTTTCTTTTGTACTACTTTTGATCTATTCAAAACCCCTTAACAGTTAAGAGAACTAACGTTAAAGTTGATGTTAATGTTCAAGGTCCCATTAACTCATTAACTGTTATACTAAACACTTAACTCCGATGATTACAGTATGATTACAGTAATCGCATTTAGTCACGTGTGTGCCCGAGTACTGTAACTAGAGAGTTTTGGTACTGTTCTGGTAACAGGTAATACGTATAAACGTATAAACGTACTGTACCTATGTATAGTATCAAGTATGTGGGGATAAACTTAATTAATATAATTTGAAAGGTTTAAAAGTTTAGATAAATTAATAAAAAACTTGCTTTATACTAAACTCTAATAGATTATTTTATATATAGCGATACTTGGATAATTTTCGCCCCATTTTTTTAAATTAACCATTAAATTCCTTTTTTCGATTACTCGCGGAGTATCGGTATGTACGTATGTACGTAAGTACATAAATACATACCAAGTACGAATTAGTAAATATTTTCTGCGCCCTAAAACGTTAAAGATGTACAGTATATAATAATAAAGTAATACCATTTCCTGACAAAGCGTTTATTAACATTTAACGTTAATAAATGAATCAAATAATTACAGATACGTACAGTACGTATACGTACTCTTTTTTTATAAAAAATTATATACGTATAACTATGAATCTTTTTTTATACACGTGTAAACTTTATTAAGTCCGAACTAATTTTGTATTACCATTGTTCTTTTCAACGAAATTTCTATCTAGATCACGTGTAATATATAACAATGATTTCAACCTTAATAAATTTTTATTAAATATATAAATGGCGGAATGTGAAAACCTTAAATTAATTCATTATTTTTCACCTTACCGGACCCAGTCTCCGTAAAATTGACAAATTTAATCAATACTATATACGGTTAATCGTTCGATATCATATCAAACGGTTTCACTCATATATCACACTACGTACGTGTACTCAAAATGTATATTAATATTTTCAAAAAAATAAATTTCTGTATTAGTTATTGCTGTATTGGTTGTTTCTGTATTGATTGTTTCTGTATTAGTTGTTTCTATAGTAGTTGTTTCTGTATTAGTTATTTCTGTATTAGTTATTTCTGTGTTAGTTTACACCCTCCAGCAAAACAAACTAGAACAAATATATATTTCTTTAATAATGATAAAAAAAAAAGTCAATTAATTACTATATATCTGAATGTGTTTTAAATTTTGTACATTAATCTTTTGAGAGCAAATATATTAATGTGTTATGCATAATATTGATCTATTATTATATTATAATGTGACAATTTATAAAATTAATTGAGTTGACTAAAATACATTGGAACCCACCATATTGGCTCACGAATATATATATATATATAAATATTTCATTAATTTTTAAAAATTAATTTTTACGAGGTTTAAATATAAGGATAATGATCAATCCAAAAATTATTAATAATAATAAAAGTATTATTTTTCGATTCCTACTTTTCTTTTGATAATTGGCTCCCTGTAATTTATAACAACCAATTTTACAATTAATACATGTATAAATTTATATATAATTAAATATCCAAATTTATATATAAATCTTACCCGATCTAACTCTCTAGTAGCTCCCTTAACATTAACTACCATTTGTTCAACATTATAATCAATACGATCTAATAATGTACCTTGATCAATTACAAGCGCTTGAAGTTCATTAAATATTTCTGCTATTGTTTGTATTGATTTTGCAATTTCATTTATTTCATGTTCTCGTTGTGAAATCACTGCTTCTGATGATTCTGTTAATGCAAGTTGTTCATTTGTAAAACCCTAATAAAACCATAATTTTTTCTTAGATTTTTTTCAATTTTTTCACAATACTAAATATATGTAAAATATATAATATTTCATTTCTTACAAAGCCCTGTTCTTCATCTGATTCATTATTCTCTATTGGGAAAAATCCCGTACTTCGAACTTTCACTCCTTTAAGTTCTAATTTTAAAATTAAATATAAATATATATTTATATTTATATTTATATTTATAAATTTATATTAATAAATTTTATTTAAATTAAAATAATTAATAAATATATTACCTAAAATCAATTCTCATCTCATAAGAATAATTAAATACGTACTTTTCATATAAGCTGATTGTTGTTTCCTAAAATTTGTTGATAAATCTTGTAATTTTGTTGCTAATGAAATTTGTATATTTTTACTCATGGTTGTTTCTTGATTTGAAGCTGCTATTCGACTTTCATCAGCGATTCGTCTAATTTTTTGTTGACATTGTTGAAAAAGCTGTTAAATATATAATAATATTATTATTATTAATCAATTCCCTTAATAAATTATTGAGAATAATGAATGGTTTTTAGTTAATATTTAATTACTTTTGTTATTTCCGATGATAAACGTTCTATCTCTCTCTCTTCCTCTGTCCGATCGTCAAATCCTGGTAGTGCATGTTTTCTATGTAATGACTCTAAGGTTGGAACTATTAACCCAGAATAAGGTTAGGAGGGAAGGAAAAAAATAGATCGCTTGAATATTAAGAAAAAAAAAAATTAACCACTTACTAAGACTTTTTATTTGACTAATATCATCGTCAACCTCTTCAACTATATCCACCCTTAAAATATATATATGTAAGATTAAATCACAATTAAATTATTCAAAAGTAACTAATCTTCAATCTACCAGTTTGGTGGTAAAACCGAGAGTTCTATAACGTGATCGGAGACTAATAAACCATCACGTTCCCCTGATAAATAATTTAGCGAGGTCGTTGAAGGTCGAGAGTGACTGGATCTCGCAAAAGAATTTCGATATTGTAAAAAGAGCAACGTACGGCTTCTTGTTGTCATCGAATTCTTTGTTCATCAATATTTCTAACATTACATATCTGATATACAAAATTCCCCTCATTGTTATAACCTGAGTACGTGGCATTATTTACGTATCTCGGTTCACGTGTTTCACATGTGTTAACTATTCTAAGGCATTTAGCATTTACTGCAAGTCCGATAATTTTTCCGCAGTAATAAATAAAATCAATTTTTTGTAATGTTTCACCTACTTTAATTTTAATTTACTAATTGATGTAGTAAAAAAAGTTAAAATTCATAATATTTATAATAATCTTTTTAAAATATAAAAAATGGGCTGCATATAGATTTTAATAGTATGTAGTAATAGAGTATGTAGATTAGGCCATGCAAAGTTACAGAGTCGAAATCAATAAGCAACCGACTTCGGCCAAACTCAGAAACTTTAAAATTTATGTTCCTTTTTAGGAACAAAGTGGGAACATAAAAGTTACAATTATGTTCCTAGAGAGAGAGAGAGAGAGAGAATATATTATTATGGGAACATTAAAAATTTTTTGGGAACATAAACGTAATAATTTATATTCCTGAAGAACAAAAAAAAAAATTTCAAATCTTTTTAACTGGTTTTCGTAACCCGAATGATTTTTCAGCCGATTCGATTAAGTTTGTGATTTCGGCATAATATGTAGATTCAATAAATTCATATACTGTATATACGCAATTTAAGAATATACTTTCGAAGCATCTTCGCTGGAAAATATTTGAAAAAAAAATTTTTAGAAGGCCTATCATTTCGAAAAGTTGCCAAACACTTAGGTGTTGGCATATCTTTTATAAGTCAAGTTCTCAAACACTTTCAAAAATATGGATGTATTGAAAAGCTTCCGTCACTTTCAAAACCATGTTTGTTCACTGAACATGAATGATACAATTTATTTTAAAACTTTAATGAAAAAAAAAACCTGATTGGTATTTGTACTGTATGATTTACAATCCGGGAACTCTGGTTAGACGTAAAATTATACGTATACAAATAAAAGTAATATTTTATTTATATATAGGATCTTCTTAACATGTACTTCGTGCAATATGTTTAGTTTAAAAGTCTAATTAATATATAGTACATTTTTTATATTTCTTATTGACACGCTAAACATGTTTGATCGAAAATTCAATAATGTTGACATTATTGTTATAAAACAGTCATCATGATTATGGATCATGCTGAAATTACAAACTTAATCGAAATCATTCGGCAAGTGTTCTAGGAATTATGAAAATAGTTGTAATACCGGTGGGTTTTTAAAAAAAAATTTTATAAAAAAATTTATAAATTTTATACTGTATATGAAATTAAAAAAAAAAAGCCGGCCAGCCGGTCAATTAAATTTGCATGGCCTTATTTATTTGGAAATTAGATAAGATTTCAAAATCAACTATTAATTATTTGTAAATTAAAATTTTTTTAAATTTTGAGTAAAGATATCTTGGCAACCACCAAGTCAAATTTTAATAAAAAAAATTTTTATTGAATTAACCTAGTAGTTGCTAAGATACTGTATTTTTATTTAAAGTTTAAACCTAAAAATCTTAAAATATCTATTAAAATACAGTAAAAACTATATTTAAATTTGGTTCAAATTTTAAACAATATATATATATATATATTTGATACTAAGGTAATCTCTTTGACTATAGAAAGATTTTATTAGGTATATATAATCACTAATACAGTTACAATAAAAGTACTGTGTATTTGACACTGTTTATACTAGGTATTTATATTTGTAGCCCAAACTAGAACTACCTATTTAAACCTTCTAATCCTAATTATTAAAGATCCAATTTGAATAAATTTGCCATCTATTTATCTATATCTGAATTTATCCAAATATGTACACAATATTGGGCAAAAATTGTTAAATAACAATAATTTGGCAAATGAGCAAGTGCTGCTTTGTGGCACATGTAGCCAATCATTTGTTAAATTACTATATTCGACAATTTGCTCAATATTGGTATTATCTAGCAATTTATGATTATAATTGGTAAAGAGTTGCTCACTAAGTTTTTTTTTTGAATACTAGAATAAATATAATTATATCATAATATATAAAAAAAATAACAAAAAGAAATTTTTTCATAATTATACTGTATAAGTTTGCTGGATAACTATTTACTATTGATATTCAAATAATCTAACAAATATTTAGATAATTATCCAGATATTAATAGTAAAATAGATATTCAAATAAATTCAAAAGATACTAGAGTTATATAATATGTTGGGTATGGACCAGTTAGATTAAATTTATTATTGTAAATACAATTTGTATCAGATTAATTGATCTGAACATCTAAAACATTAATAAACTCTAGTTTCCGAACACTTAACAACAAAAAATAAAAAAAATAAAAAAATAAATTCAAATTTGGATATTCTATAAATAAATAGATAAATAGTAATATATAGAAATTAAAAAAATTATAACTCTTCTTAATGATTATTTAAACCAATATTTTCAATTTAAGAAAAATTGTAAAGTCTGTTGAAGAGGTGTAGCTACAATAGTGGTTGGTAGTTGAGATCAACTAGCTATGGGAACTTCTCACTATTATTTGACATGCAAGCCAGAAGTCTAATTAAGAAAAAAAAGCAAGTGGCACTTTTGGCAAGCTCTATAGATTCTGGTAGTGAATTTCCATCGACAAAGCTCTGTAGACTATAGTTTTGAAGAAGACTTTAGTAGTGGTTTGTGGAAATATAAATGGTTAATCTGGCCTAGGGGACTCTGCCTCATGTTTAGCATGCAAGCCAGAAGCAACACAAATGAAAGAGGAAAATGCAGGTGGTGCTCTTAAACGTAGCAAATTCTGGTAAAACAACGTTTTTGTTGATGAAACTACTAGGCCTTTCTTTAGAACCTAGGGGTACAACAAACATTATTTTTTTTTTCTTTAGCCACACTCTTTCTATTAGTTCAAGTGCTCCTTATTTCAATTTTTCTGCCTTTCTGCCGGTCTTCCAAGAAATTTTTTCAAAAAATGAGGGATTTGGTTTACCCTTTCCAAAAGATCAGCATCGTTTATATCCCAATTCAAACGAACTTGGTAAAATGCAGCCACATGTCTTGTTTACTTGCGGATACAGTGCTACTCCACATAACTTGGATTGGAGTCTCTGGTTAAAGAGGTATCCGAATTTGGTCAATAGTCAGACAGTGTATTCATGTTATATTTGAGATATATAATCGTTGCATTTGTTATAAAATTTTTACTTTACCTAGCATGGGTTATAATAGTGTACTTTTTTTTTTTTGTTGTTACAACCTTTGAGTTGTTGCCCACTACTTCTTGATAGAGATAGTTCCCTCTTTGTCAGCCTTCAAGGCTTTTTTCTTTTTTTTTTCTTTTTTTGTATACTCTGTTCCTTTTTTTGGTTTCCTTTAAAATTCTTCTTTCGTTTATTTTGTTTTTTTTAGTAGATATGGTTTTTTTTTTTTTATTTTTGTTAATTGGTGGTTTTGTATTGTTGATATGAAATCATTACTTTCTTTTGCTCTCAGTAAGGAAAGATTAATTAAAGGAATTAGCTTTTGATAAGCTGACAAAGTCTTCCAACTTGTATACAGGATGGTGTAGCAGGTTGCTGATAAGCATGTTTTATACAGCTATGAGATGTCAGACTTGCAACTTTCTTGCTTTAAATACTTGTTTAGTTTAGAAATAGTCTTGTACCATTACTAATTTTTTAAATAAAGTGCTTGTAATTGAGCTCCGACAAGACTGTCAAAGAGCTAAAAAAAAAAAAATATATATATATATATATATATATTCCACTAACTATTTATAGTAACTATTTCTTTAACTTTATACTATTTAAGCAGCTTTTAAATATATACTCTGCTTTAAAACTATAATTAAACTAGTTATAAGTTTGTATTAACTATATCAGTGAAATATATTAATATAAACTTACATAAGTTATTATACTTTGAAATATTGTATAATAATTATAATCTGGGCGGAATATTGTACAATAAATTAAGAAATATTATGCAATATATAAAGTAATATTGTACAATATTTTTTTATTTTTATTTTTTCTTTTAATAATCATGTACTAAAATTTTATTAAATGTATTACACTTAATACAAGACCAAGCTACTTAACAAGATAATTAGACTAAAAGCTAGCTATCTCTTAGAGATGCCCAATCTTGGTTATTGCACTGATGTTGGCCACTATACCCCACATATAGTGCATCGCATTTAAAGACATAGTCTAGCCGGGGCTTAGCTCCCACCTCAGGACCTCTTTTCCTTTCTAATTTTTTCTTCTTCTCAAGGAGCACAAGACAAAAAAGGGAGAAAAGTTTAAAACAAGAAAACAAATATGAAAACGACCAAAAAAGAAAAACAAACAAAAAAGAAAAAATAAACAGATTCCGAAAAGGAAAAAACATAAAAAGAAAACTAAGACCCTAAAGGCACTATTATAACCCATACAAGGTTGGTAAAAATTATATAACAAATACAACATTTGTATATCTCTCTTGTAAAGGTAAAGCTCCATCTTAACATTAAAGTTTACTTTCTGATCTTCCCACTGAAATTGGATGGCTCTGTTGTCCAAGGCCTCATATCAAAGCTACTTTCTGCCATAATTGGAGTTCTCGGGCTGAGTCCTATGCAGTAGCACCATATCCGTTCGTAAACAAATACGTGGTTGTAATCTACTAGTCTGTTCGAATTTGGGAAGTAAACAATGCCAATCTTTTGAAGAGGATAAGCCAAATCCCCACTTTTTGTCGAAAAATTTTGAAAGAAAGACAAGAAAGTGGAAAAATGATAGTAAACACCACTTGGCCAGAAAAAAAGAGTACAGCTTAAAAGAAACCTGTTCTTTACTGTTCCCAGTTGTTTCATAATCAATAGCTTTGTTGACAGTAGGTTTGAACTTTATTACCTCCACCTAACCACCAAAATTTTATATATGAGGACACCTTCTTCTGCCAGTTATCTTGTATACTGAT